CATGTTGAACACACATTCGTTATCTCTTAACTAAGGGTCATTAGGATCAATAAGTTACCTTATGGAGGAAATACAATAGGACCACATAAGGAAGGAAATTGGAAGTAACTAATCTCATTTGGTTAATCTATTCTGCTGTGATCAGGCAGCATTAAAGTGGGTTTAGAAACCATAAAACCCCATCCTTCATGAGATGAAGGCAGTGAAAAAGGAGCTTTGACCAGACAGTCCACTCTTGGTCATTTTGACTTTAAAGCCATCTTTTTGGAGGTGATATTGTATCAGGTAATCTGTTACTTATTAGGCAGGCAGTTACCTCTACATTGTGAGGTGCACCTGGGGTCAGAGGGGTGAGGGCTACAGTGCATTTGGTTGGGAAGACCAGATGCAGAGAAATCAGTGTGTGCAACAGCTCCACCAGGAACTTCGCTCATAAGATGGATTCCAGAAGCATCTTGTTTCCATTCTCCCCCAGTCCTCTTTCTCTCATCTAGCTAGTGGCTGTAATACCCAGATGGAGAGGACAGTCCTTGTTTAAGCAGCTGTCTTTTGGCCTGAGGGTTTGGGGGTATGTTTATACTTGTCGGTTACTATGACTTCTTTTTTTTCCCCCCTCAATTGCATCAAACCCTTAAAACATGGTGGTAAGTGAGCGATATGCATGCTTTTGGAGTTTGTTTAATCTCCGCTTCAGTCTATACAGTGCATAGTTCATAATGTTAACACTTTTCTTCAAGTTTACTTCATTCACTTTCACAACTAACTTGGATTTCAGTTTGCTGTTTAAATCCTCATTTACTTTGATTTTTGTACCTTTTTTTTTTTTGTAGTTCTGTTTTTTCCCCCCTCTCCTGATTTCCCTGTGAGGGTCAAGTTGTTTTTTGTCTGACCTGTAAGGGAGCGTGTTGCTGCTGTCAGCCCAGGAACTAGGGGACACGAAGCTGTTTGTAAATGTGAAAGTGGATTTGGGGAGAGAGATGATGGGGCCGTGAGATTTAGACACGACTGTGAACAGCTGCTCCCACTCACAGGCATGGCGGCTACACTAGAGCCACTGTTGCTACAATCCCTACTGCAGCCCTTTGCACGTTATGGACTGGACGTTCCTCAGACGCCAGGGCATATCTTCTGCAAAAGAAAGAAAAGCTGTGGTGTGACTGCTGGGGTTGGTGCTGACAGCGACATGCTTTAAGAAGAATTAGCCTGGCTGTTGCGATTCCCTCTCCCCTGCTTTTTCTTTTAAAGTTGGGATAGATGGAAGGTATTCTTGAATCGCTCGCTCTCTTGCTTTAGAATTTTGTATTTTTGGGTTCACAGCCAGAGCACTAAAAATATTCTGAGTTTGCTTCTGTGTCTTTTCCTTTAAGTCCCTGAGTGCTTAGTTCCTAGCATGTAGCTGAGCTGGCTTGGCCGGGATGCTGAGAGCATTAGGGTGTCAGGTGAGGGAGGATTTAGGCTGGGCTTGTGTGTTGGTACTTGCGTGTCTTTGTGTATCTTCACTGCATACACGGCACACAGATGTCGGGATGTGCTTAAGTCTTAGTTTGTTCTCTGTATCTGTTTGATAGTACTGTTGTCAGTAGTAGAATCCTGTGGACACTGATGTGTCGCTAGCCTGTGGTTTTGGCTAATAAGTTATTGGTATGTGGTTAGTTTTTTGTTTTGTTTTTTAAATCTGTTTCTGCTCCAGTCACTGTGTGTGCTGGCAGTGGCTTTGCCTCTCCGTTGCCTCAAAGGAACAGGTGGAGCAATGTCTCCCTCTGACAGACATTCCTCCTGATGTGTGCTCCTGCGGACGCCTGCACCGAGACTGTGATCTCCATAACTGCTTCATGTGCACCAAGCCCCCTTGTGGAATCCTGCTGAGAGTTTTTCCAGAAGCCTTCAGTGAAACCAAACCATTCTGAATCATTTAATCTACCTGACTTTTGTAAAACTAAGAGCACTTACTTGTTCCCTCCCCTTTGTGGGCCTTTAAAAAAAATTCTATGTATGTATAGCCCTGCTTACATGGGATCAAGTTGCCCTTAGCTGAAATAGGGAATAAAAACTTATAAATCAGAATAATAAAATACCAATTTAAGAAGGCTTCTAAACTCAGATAATGGAAGCTTTTAATTAAAAAAATAAGATCTCTGGCTCATCTGGGTTTGGGTTCTGGTTCTGGCCAGGGCACAAGAGTGAGCCATCTGTCTCTGAAGTCTTTTCCAGAGGGATGTCACCACTACTTAGCTTCCCTGCTGTATCACAGAACATCCTCTTGTTGCTACACTTGGCATAGCCCAACCTGGCTGACCCTGGCTGAACTATTGTGGCTTCCTCTTCCTCAATCTTATTCTCCAGACTGCAGACTCAAAACAGCAGGAACAGTGTCCTTTGGGGAAGTGAGGATGTGTGGCTAAATGTATAGAACATACACATCCATCTACATTGTAGGATTGAGCTAAAATTGTACATGCATTCACCATAAGAAAACAAACAGCAGGATTTTACAACTGAAATGTTGGTTTGTCTTCTCATCTATTTAAGAGTGAACCACTGGAACTTGGGGACAAGATGAACAATGACATTGCAGCCTATCTGTCCGCTATAGTTGCAGTTTTTCATGACAAGCATTCAAAGTGTTAACTAAAACCATTGAAACAACATATCCGCCATTAAAAACTTGAATCTAGAAATAATAACTCCATGAGTGTTTTGCACCTCCAGATGGAATGGCCTTGAATAAATGCTATGTTTTTACCACTTGATGTTTGTTGTTCTACTAATCCATATGCAATCTCACACTTTTCTCCTTTCTTCTCCTGTCTACCAATGGATTCTAAAAAAACTGAACACCTGTGTAGATGATGAACCAGCTGGGCCAATGTAAGTACTTTATTGGGCATTGAGTGACTAGCATCTGATTGAATTATTTTGCATTCATGTTTTAATCGGTGGAGTAGCTAAGATTGTAGGGAAGACTCTGCAGCCTGACATGCAGGTGGCTAATGGACAGGCTATTTCAGTAGCAATATAAAATAGAATACCATCTGTTTGAAATTTTGCATGTCCCATATGCTTAAATTGATATTGTGAGGAAAATGACCAGTATATCTGAGACTTTAAGTTCCATACTATATGGTTCCATTAACAATTCCCTGTATCCAGAACATGGAATTGCAGACTTGGTCAATCCAGGATTAGAATTTCCTAGAGTTGGAGACCAAACAGTACCCCAAGTTGTGCCAGAGGACCCAGAGCTGCCTCTGTAATTGAGTGTCATTTGTCATTTGAGAAAAGAATGGCACTCAATAGAGAAAAAAATACTTATTCTAACCTTATAGTAACTATAGTTTATAAGTCACAGGGAAAGTTACTGTATATTTTTTAAAAAGTCAAAAGGATCGATTAACTGAAGATATGTAGGCACTTTACCCAGGGAGTATTTTTATGTACTAACATTATGCAGTGAACTTCCTTAAACCAGGGATGGCAGTGAGTGAAAGAGTCCCTGTATTTCCATGTGTTATACTTTCCAAAGGTTGCTACTGACTTTGAGTTTAACTCTTGTAATACAATTTTTCCTCCAAAGGAAAACCAACTCTACCAACAATCACAAAGATAAAAACTTGCGCCAGAGAAACACAAATTAAGTACTACTTATAATGTAAGTATGACCTTCTTTAGAAGTTTTAAAAATTATATTGAAATGAACGTGGCTCTGTTGACCTTGTTACAAATTCTTCAGTATTTGGTGTTATGCTGCAAGATCTTTTTGTTCATTTCAGAGCAGCTCAGACTGTTGGAACCCATTATGTAGCAGCTGGAAAGGACCGTTTTTCAGCTGCATTGTTTCACATATTTATATAAATGCCATTTCAAAATATGTATGATGCTTCAAAATAACACTTTGCGCTACTGTTTACTTACATCTTTTAAAAGAGGTAAAGATTAAATTGTCATCTTGCGAGGTGGGATATTCCCAGAGGCCAGTTAATCCCCCTCTGCTTCTGAGGGCAAGGCAAGACCCATAGCTGGGACAGCTGGCCCCAGTGCCTCCCTGTCCGGCACATGGAGATCAGAATTTCACACCGCATCCCTGAGCATGCTGTTTGAAACAAAGCCTTGTTTTATGTGGCACTTAGTTCTTAAGTTAGGCTTTTAATTTCCAAATACTCTTTTTTTTTTTTTTAACAGATCTTTAGGTTCCTGAAACTGGTGGCAACATGACCTGCTAAATTTTCTGCTTGGACCTTTTTGGCTCTCTCCCATTTAAGTGAGCAACACCACGACGACTGTCTAAAGCATGCCTTATTTAGCCTCTTCTGTAAGGGTGACCTAGCAGGTACATTTCAAATAATGCTTCAGTGTAGAAGGTGTAAACTATTTTGGGCTTGATGTGCTGTGAATGTTGCTTCCTTTTCCTTTATTAGAGTATTTAAATAGAAGTGAAAAGGTCCTCTGAGGATCGGATCATGCATGCGCCATTTTTTACTTACTGCGACTGTTAATTTGGCAAAATGCACTGCTGCCATCTAGTGATAACATTTTGTAAAGTACAGCAAAACCTACAAATAAATACAGTATACAAATATATATATTTATATTTTGGGGGGTGGGAGAAATACAAAATAAATGCTTGTTTCAGTTTTAAGCTGCTGATATTCCTTATTGTATGTTGTCAGTTGAGGAAATTGTGCAGTTCTGGTACAAAAGATGAGTAATATAAACTGAAATCTGTAATTTTAAGGGCTTAACCTACGATTCTAATAAGAAGCTGGAATAGTCCACTGAATGGCATAATGAATTTCAGTATATATGTATGATTGCTTTTTAAGTGATTATTTTTCTGTTTGCTGATCATGTAAATTCTTATATCCTTTTGCACTGATCTGTTGAACCTTATTGTACATTTAATTAAGGCAAACTTTTATAATTTATCTTTAGTTTTCAGTGACCTTGAAATATTCTAGCATGGTATTCTATGCAACTAGTTATACTTTGGGGTTAACACTGTATTTTTTCACATTGATTTAATGGTTGAGTGTAGATTTTTCTCACTCAATAGGGTTCTCTCACTCAGTATGTAACCGTAGGTGCATGTACTCATGTTTTGTGTAATTGTTGATGTGCAATGATGTATAGAAAAGTGGATTCACCGGTTTTTAAAAATAAAACATTGATAAAAGATGTTTGGAATAATAGTCTTTATTCTAGTCTTAAGGAGGAAGCATTTTTCAATGCTTTCAAGTTTCTTAGTTCTATATGTACACAGAGTGTTAATTTCTCAACCCCGTCAGTTTTTTTAGTTCTTTTTCTACCTCTTCCACAAATGCTGGGAAATTCTGATCCATGAGGCAGCATCGGAGAAAGGAGCCTAACTCTTCAGCATTCCATGCAGATTGTTTGTGGACAAGGGGCAGCTCCTCTGACGCCAGGAGAGACTGGGGATTTCAGAAGAGTGGTTTATTAGAGATTATAGGCGAAAGCAACAGCGTGAATAACAGAAAAACTGCCTTAAGGAAAGACTAGGAAAATACACACCAAAAATGAGTGTTAATTATAATTAGCTTTACAGGGTTCCTTTACTTATTAATGTTTCTTAATATAATAAGAAGTGAGATAAACTTGTATCCTTAGCTATATGAAGTATATTAATGACATGATTTGCAATTTTAAGACCATGTTTTAATAAAGAATACTGTGCTGATAACCTTATGTGGATTGATAAGAAACCTATCAGTGAATGAACTCCATTAGCTTAATTTGTCATTCCCATTTCACTTTGGGGGAATGGGTGAGAGCAGTTCATTTGAAAACAGGTTCTGAAGGCAATAAAGAGTGGCCACAAACTGACCGTCCAAAAGTCCCATGTCTCTTTCTGGTCCTGACCACAAGGGTGGACAAACTCAAGAAAGGCATATAACTATGAGGGCAGTCAAGACACAGAACATTTCCATTCCCCACCCTCATCCCCCCCATCCCCCACCCAAATCCCTTCATACTACTACCTTTGTTGTCAAACCCTTAGCCCCACCGCCTAGCAACCACTGATCTGTATTCTCCATACCTTAGATAAATGAAATCATATCATGTTGAGCACTTTCTTTATATGCCTATTTTCCATCTGTATATCTTTTTTGGTAACTTGCAGTGTTTTAAAACTAGTTGAGTAAATAGGTTGCTAATATTTAAATTAGGAGAGTTTAAAAAGGTCTGACTGTACTTGGCAGTTTAGAAGATAGGGCACCACTGACCTGATGATGATGGCACCACCTTGGGGTCCACCTACATCTCCTTTCCTCCTCACATGAATTTAGTTAAGTAGGTGGTTTTATGCCTTTTCTATGGATGGGAAAGTTTGGTGTGTATGCATCAACTGACACTTCTCTAGGAACTATCTATAATAGAAATTTATTTTTCTAAATTGAAACTAGCTTTGCAGACTACCTGATAGTAGAAAGAAGAAAAATGAAAGTAACATGAAGACCTGTTCTCCAGGAAGAGCGACTGTTAGCATGTTAGTTTATCTCCTTCCATATTGTGTGTGTTTACTACAAAAATCAAGTCATACATGATGCTTTTGTAGCCTTTTTAAAAATGTAATGTGCTATGAATATCTTTCCAATGTCAATAGGTAGGGATATTTATACATCAATTCTATCGACTGCATTTTTGTCACATCTGTGGTTATTTCACACTTTAACCACTCAGTATCCTGTAAGTGAACATATATGTTGTTTCCAGTTTTGTTACTACAAGCAACACTGAACATCATCCTTACATGTATGTTTGGGTAGCAGAAATATAATTATAGGTAATAGATATGGCATAAAATTTGATCTATATTGCTAAGTTGCTTTCCAAAAAGTTTTATCAACTTACATTCTTAGAAAGACTTGTCTAGAAGGTGAGAGCGAACAAGAAGCATATCTGAACTCCCACTCTGGTGCTTTTTCTGGTTTGTACATGGTTCTTCTCTACTATGTAAATAAACTGGGATAAGGTTACACCTTTTATAGCAGGTGATATTTCCTAAATAAGGATATCACACCCTGCCTTGTTCCATGCGTTTTTGTGCCTCTACCATCCTTAGCCACTTTGATTCAATTAACTATTAACCCCAATGCGAATATGAGGCTACAAACAGCACCGTGAAGTCTGCCCTGCTGCTGGACAAAGAGGCTTTTACATTTTCCTGTCAGAGAGACTACTAAAGTTTTTTATTCTATGGTTGTCCATTTATTTTGAATTGGTGGTAAGCCAGGTGGGAAAAAAACTCATACTTTCTTTTTTATACCACTTTTAGAACAGTTTGATACATTAAAAGAAAATTCATCCTTGAATATTGACAAATTCCATGTAGAATTCTGTGAAAAGTGTAAGCTATTGGCCTGAGAGCCTGCAGCTGGGACTGCAGTGAGCAGACAGTTCCCAGGGAGCTCCCAGCAGAGCACACACCACGTAATGAGGCCAAGGAACAGGTTTAGGACTCCGGTCATAGTGAACTGCAAAGGGAGAGGGGAAGTGTGTGGGAAAAGTTGAATCCTCCTGATTTCCACACATACTAGCTGAAATCTTAGCACTGAAAATTTATACAGAAATCATCAATGATTTGTCTACAAATTCATATTGATATTTGTCTTAAAACAGTTCCCCAAATTCTTCCCTTTATTCCTCTTTTTGGGAAAGTAGTAAATTCTTTATCACACATTTGAAGCCCAGCACTGTAGGCCACTCCTGTGTTTCCTTAGGAGAGCAGCTCTTCAGTATGTGCCATCATGGTAATCTCACAACAGGGTTGATAGACATGGCCTGGGTCTGTCTCTAACCTCTTCCATAGTAACACTTCAGGTTAGTGTTCTAGAACAAGGGAGTGGGCAGAGGGATTCAAATGTTCAGGATCACTGTTTTCATGGAAGAAAACTGAACATGGGAATAGGCTGTACCTGAGCTAACTGGGTCACTGAGGTCCTTCCTCCTGGGGCACACTGCTGCTGCTCCAGCCGCCGGTGTGACTGCAATGAGACAACTGCCAGCTTAGCTGAACATACTCGTGAACACCACAGGCCATTAAAGAAGTGGAAACACATGAATTCATGTTCAGAGAAAAAAAATCAGGAGAAATCACTGTTGGTGTAGTTTGTCCTGCTTTCAGGTGGCTGCTACTTGACTTACCACAGTAGATGTGTATGCACAAGAGTTTAAATCAGAGGCCCCTGCCCTGTACCTGGGGTTCCTCAGTGTCTGTCTGACACCACTGTGTTCTGTCTGCAGAAGCCCAGTCCAGGATGTTGCCCAGCTTTGGATTATCATGATTTGTTACCTAATAATCATTAGGTACTACATATTCGCTGCAGAAAAATTCCATAATTACAATATAATTTTTTTAAATAAAACTGGTCTGAAAAAACAATCTCATTTTAGACATTCTGAGGGAATGGGTTCTTAGACCCTGGTGATAAAGGGAAGGGAGCCACAACGAACAAGGGAGTGGTCCAGCCCTTAAGAACCCCATGCCCATTGAGAACCTAACAAGAAAAACAGTGGTTAGAATGCAACCCAGGAATTGCTGGGCCTGAGGCAAAGGAGCCAAGCTTAGGACTTAAGCTCAAAGTGGAGGGAGTGAAGTAGAGGGGGTGTGCTGGGCTGAAGTGTAAGAATGTTCCAGAATGTGTGCCATATCTTTAGGAGGCTATTATGTGAGGGGCAGTTCTTGGGTGGCACACTGAGACGTGCTCCAAGCAGACACCATGAACAAGATGGAGAAGGAGGCTGTAGGCATAACAAGCTGTGAGGGCTGCTTCCACCTAGAATGTACGAGAGCCAGAAAACCAAGATGGTGGCACAGGTACACAATGGAGATTGCCTTGCACAACTACTTCAACAATACAACTAAAAGACGGAACGGACATCATCCAGAACCACAGGAAGGCTGGCTGAGTGGAAATTCTACAACTAGAAGGAAAAGCATACCAAGACTCAGGAGGTGCGGAGCGGAAGTAAAATACAGAGGTACAGAGGCGCATGCGAAGAAGGCTGGCGGCTGAGGACACTGTTGTCTTTTTCTATCGGGAGGGAGTCTCAAGCTCTGAGCTCCAGTTCCAGGCGAGTCTCTGGGGACCCAGACTCATACGGGAGAAACTGGACTGTCTGGCATCGGTCAGAACTCGAGGGCAGCTTTCTCTCAGAGGTGCTTGCAGTGATTGCCGGGACACTGAGAAGCAGGGCCTCTGAGGGCATTACTGAGAGCAGCCATAACTGCTCACTCCGCCCTGATGATCCCTGGGACCCTGCCCCGCCCAAGCCCTGCAAGAAGGCTTTTGCATATGAAAGGCCTGGCCCTTTGCAATCTGAAAATTACCTAACAAACTGCAGCTGGGCTGAAACCGGTTTGGCTCAGTGGATAGAGAATCGGCCTGTGGACTGAAGGGTCCCAGGTTCCATTCCAGTCAAGGGCATGTACCATGGTTGAAGGCTCCTCCCTGGCCCCTGCCCTGGTCGGGGCATGTGTA